TTTTTTGAACAGGATGGAGACATTCCCGTGGAAGGGTCATTCCTTTGCCTGGGAGAAATTAAGATTAGCTCTATCCAGCACTTCGGACCAATGCCCATGCGGACACCTTTTCACAGGGCGATGAATATAATACTTGACGGCATCACATTTGAGGTGACTGTGGAGCAGGTGGCAATGCTGACGCAGCTACTGAACACGCTAATGCGACAGTTCCCTCTGCGTGATGCGAGACTTTTGCGGGAGATTGAAATCGCGAAGACACGGGCGGCGTACTCCACAGACCACATCATGCCGCAGTCGGCGCACCCGCGGCGTAAAACCATCAGAATACTTCCCACGGAGGATGACATTTTGCCGTTTTCTCGTGTCCGGAGTGAAGGCTGTACGAGAAGGAAGGGATCTGCTACGCTCAATAAGATCACGGATGCGCGGTTGGCACTGGAGCGATTTCTTGCCCGCGACGGTCCCATTTTAAAGGTGCCCTTTTCAGAGTCGATTCCTGAATTGATGGCCGTGGATTTCAACAAATACCTTGAGGCTTTTGAAGCGGCAGCGGACGAGGCGAAGGACCACGCTGTTGTCACGATCCTTGCGTCGCTGGAGTGTGTCGCGGGGTGTGTGCGTGTTGGCCCCGATGGCTACTTGGAACTGCAGCTTCCGCGCGGGGTGCAACTTGCCTCCTCGACCCTCAACGACCTGAACTCCAACAGTCGTGTGAGTGCTGCTGTGCGGGACATCGCATTGCGTGGGTTCTGTCGACTCAGCGCGCATGAGGAATCGAAACTCAGTGAGGACTTTGTGGAGGTGTTTCACGTGGAAACGTCGCTGCGCATGCGTAACTGCACGGCGTATCCCTTCGAACAAGGACTTGAGCGCCATTTGGAGAAGCAGCGGCGGTTTTTGGACGAGAACGACATGGACCGTCTTTTTAACTTTTGTCCTTCTTTTGCAACAGAGACCCCACTGGAGACGAGTACTGCCAAGGAGCCAGAAACGGGCGTAAGTGGCACACAACCGGTGCATGCAAACGGCGCCGGGGAGGAAGATACACATGAGGAGGAAGAGGAGCGCCTGCGAGGGAGCGCACGTCGAGCGACGATTTCCTTTTTAGATGGTCTTTTATCCTTTCGAGAGAAATTTAAAAGCCCGTCGGCGGCAAATACTCTGTCTACGTGCTCTACGCGTTCTGCGGAGGTGAATTTGCAAAGGGATTCTCCAACTGACAACAATAACAACACCTCTCAACGGTATGCGACGTGTCTCTCTGCAACAAGCGATAAGGACTTGGAAGACGACGAGTTTGAAGAGATGGAGTGCACTGGGAGTGATCGCACTTCGATTCTCGCAAACGACGCCTTTGCCGCTGCGAATGCCGGTGGTGATGCGGCTCCGACGCCTTCTTTGATGAGGGATGTCGGATTGGCAAATGATTTTATGTTGCGTCCCTTGGAATCTTTCACATCGTTTCTGCGGCCGTTTTTTCTGCACTCGCGGGCTGACGACGAGGTGACGTCGCTGAACTATAATGCGGCGGCACGGCAAGCAAGGGGCGGTATCCGCGATTTCACGTGCTTTCACGCGCCGCTTCCATCGACGACGTTTTTTGCGTCCATGAGTCCCCATCGAGCACCAAAATTCTGCATGGCGCAGGCAATGTTGAGCCTTGCCCTCGGCGGTGACAACGACGAGGATTCCGACGCGTGGGCTCTACGACAAACCGACAACCGCAAGCGCTCACGGGAGGGGGCCACGTCGAAGCATCTGCACGTGGAGGCGGTGGCACCGATCACAGTGCTTTTGACGAGACCATTCTTGGAGAAACTGTCTTTTGAGGCCGAGGCACGGTTCTTCACGCAGGTGCACTACTACCAATCCCTCATGGCCGCACCAATTTCGAGGCCCTCGTTCTCGCAGGGAAACTTAAGGGCGTGGGGGAACAGCGAATTAGACGATTACGGGAGTCAAACAGGGGCACAAATACAACAGACGCGTGTGATTCCTCGAAAGGAGCTTAGCAGGAATCGCGCGCACCAAAAGCGATGGCTGTCAGAAGTAAAGATTACAAGCGTCATTTTTCCTTGCATTGAGGTGAAGGCATTAACGGATCTTCCGGTTCCTCGAGAATATGTAGCGCCTGGCGACAAGGCCAATGGAGTGTACGCAACGACTCTGGGTGTGCGGTCTTTTCAGTTTGTCATGCAGCAAACTCTGCCACCAGCACATGCCGCAATGCCGGTCGAGAAGCGCGCTTTGTCTGCTTCCGTCACGCTTTCCTCACTTGCTGTCATCACACAGATTGAGTATGAGCCCGCGGTGCGTAGTGGAAACTTGCAAATAAAAGTTCCCGGCATTGCATACGATGAAGAGAAGGACACACTGGCTGTGGCATACCTCACATCTCTGTGCGGGCGTGGAAAGCGTGACAATCATCAAGGTATAGGGAGCGGGACGTGCCGTCTCTCTGTGGATACGGTTGCCCTGCATCTCACACGCGACTTTTTCTTTTTTGCTCATTCAGTCCATTCGATGCTGCAGCAGCTTCAGAACATGCGACAGGCCCAGCAAAGAGAAAATGTCCCTCTTACCCCCGTACCTGTTCCCATCCTGCTTCCCCACAAACGTACAGAAAGCTTCCGTGACATTGTATTTCCCAAACAATCTCCGAATATGAATGTTCCATTTGCCTCACTGGAGCACTTTGGCATTGAGGCGAGTATCACCGTTCAGGGAGTTGGAAATATAAACTTATTCCGCGTTGAACTTATTGACGTTTTCCGCGAAGGACGTTACATACACGTTAACACGGAGTTGTCTAACGTCATTGAGGTGAAGCGTCCCTCGGCGAAATTCATTGCGAGGGTTCCGTTGAAGTGGAAGGGTGATGGTGCCTTGTCGAACACGGGCATGATAAGCTCCATACTTCCGACTGCATCAAGAATGATGGGTGCATCTTTGCCAAGTTCTGAATTGCGGTCTGAACCTACCTTAGAGCGGGGAAGACGCGATCTGGAGGTGCAGCTCCTCGGGGAAATTGAAGAATTGTTGGTCAAATGTTATCCGTCAGCACTGCGCATTTTCGCTGCGGCAAAGAAGAGGGTGACAGTGGTATCGATTGTGGCGGAGAGCGACATAGAGTCGCCTAATCGATATTTCACACGGTCAAGGGGACGGTTACCCTCTCTTGATATGAAACCGCCTGGTAGCGGTGTGGGTGTTGTGATTAAAGGTATCTTCACGTTGCGCCAGCTTGACGCTTATTTCTTACATTCGGAGTTAAACTATATGCAGTTCAAGGTGGTCAACCTCACTGGGTGTGTCGGGTCCCGAGCGGAGCGTATCAGCTCGCGAGAGTGCGTTCAGACTCACGTCTTCACGGAGGCGATTTCTGAGTGGATACGAAAGCGACTGCACGTTTTGGCGCAGAGGGCGCGTTCACGTGCTCCTAAGAGCCGCTGCGCGGCCCCACCATCCGTGACGCCAGAGTTGCATCTGAGGAAAACGGCTTCCTTCTTTGCCGAATCTATATTGTTGCAGTATGTTGCCGATGCAATTGTGCCGCCGGGCACCTCGAGGGCCGCTATGCGAGCTCCCGTGGAGTCGATGCAGGAGCATAAGGAGTCACGCGTCTTTGTTGCGACCGCAAAGGAATTGGCAGTGGGCGTTCATAATGCGGACCAAAATCATATTCCCACCAACGATGGTGACTCAAAGGCAGCTTCTGACAAGAAACCCGGGGCTACGCCTGAGGGAGTGCAGATGAACTTGCAGATTGACGTTGGAAAGGTCTATTTCCTTTTGCCATATCGTCCTCTAGCCACTGAGACCGTGCAGGCCCAAGTGCATGAATGGTTACAAGGGTGGATAGAGGCAAAGAAGCTTCTCAAGTCCATGCGCCACTTCAACCGCGAGAAAGCTAGTGATAGCTGTCTTTCTTTGACGTTGCCCAACCAGAAGAAGATTCATGCGTCGTGTTGTGCAGTCCAGTTGCATGAAGTGTGGGTCAAAGTGGATTTGCCGCATGGCATACACGCGGCGCTGAGGATTCCACTCGCATCTGCATTTTTTAACTTCTCCTCTGATAAGAGGTTGAATTTTAAGGCCCACCTACATCCATTTACATTGACATCTGAAAGTCCTTCGGCGGGGAGGCATGCGGTGAAGTTTCCAAGCGTGTATGCCATTTATGCCAAGGACGAGCTGGTGCGAACCGGCATGTGCTTATTGGAGTCGGTTGAGATAACTGTGTCTTCGACCATCATTAGTCATTTGATTTTGATTTTGGACAGGATTGCAGACGTGTACACGGCCGTCTCGAAGCCGTTTTTTGTTGGTAGGGAGGAGGAAGGCGAGAAGGAACGTGTCCAGCAGCCGGTGACGAACACTTCATTTGCACTATCGTCAGGATGGGAAGGTCGTTTTGTGTTTCTTCTGGGCGGTCTCCGTGTGTCGTACCTCACCTCCATGACGAACCTGCGCTTCTCTGTGCGGAAGCTCAATGCTCTGATGGAAATGTCATTTTTGGGAAGGTACCGAATGTCAAAATTGATGGTGAACGTCGTCAGTGCGCAGATTGCTCTTGTGGATCGTGACGATTACGATCAACTGCAGTCCACGCTACGACAAGCAATGTTTGCGACTCAGAGCGAGTTATCCGCACCTAGCACATTGGTGGCAGCGACGCCTAATTGCGCTGCTTCGTTGACCTCGGAGGAATCGGCGCGGCTGGTGCGCCCACTTGGCGGTTTCATTTGGGGCCTTTTTGAAACGTCCTTTACACTCTCCAGCGGGCGAAGCGACAAAAATGACGTACGGGCAGCTCTTGAGAACATCTTCGCGGCATCGCGAGGGATTCCTGTTGGTTTGCATGAACTTGGAAAGCTTGGCATCACCGCCACACGATGGAATCTGTCGATCAGGTCGCCGCTTATTATTGCCCGTGTCGGGCTGGCTCCGCTTCTGCGGCGGTCCTTTGATGAGACAAGAGACCTTGCAGAGAAGATGCGGTTTGAGTCGCAGCGAGAGGGTCGTTTATTACGTCGTCAGCTTTTCAAACATGCAGCCTACCGCCGGTTGACACGCGTAAGGAAGCAGGTGGACGCGCAGGTGGAACTAACACAACGGGAAAATATAAAGCGTCTAAAGGAACTGACGGCGCAGGTGTTGCCGCAAGGCACCTCCGCGTTTCATAAACGTCCCTGCTACGCATCACCGTCAAGGATAGCAACTGAAGCAGATGAAAAGGAAGATTTCTTTAACGCAAGGTCCGATAACAAGTTCTTTGCCACAGTGTCGAATTTCCTTGTAGTTGTGCCATTTGGTGATGCGGCATACCGCAACATCATTGAAGGAGATCATGATGTGTTTATTTCTGGGCGTGGCGCATTGGCACTGAATCGCAGGCGTTTTATTCCCACCATGGCGCTGAAGCTGAAGGTTGAAAAGTCGACCTTCGCGTGCCGCCTCATTCATTCACAGAGGTGGGCTCCTGTGATTCAGCCGAGAGGGTCAACTGAGAGTTTTGGTGGCTTCATTGATGCGGCAGAACTGGACGCCACATCCAAATTGACGTTTACGGCGCGATACGTGATGGACGATGCGCAATTTTATTTCACTGATGGTTCACCGCTGGAAAGTGACATTTCGGCAAAAGATCTGCTTAGCTGCACACACGTTCTTGGTGGACTTGGAACTCTCACCAGCCTGAGCCGTGAGGAATGCCGCAACTCCTTTTCAAAGGTATTTGTTAATTCTATTGACGTTCCGCTGCATGTAAATAAGAGTGGAAGCACAGTAAAAGTTGGTGCTGTTATGGATATGAGCGCACCCCAGATTTCGATCTCAACACGCTTTGTGAGCATCCTTAGCCAGTTCACAAAAGAAATGCCGTCCGCATCGCTCTCTGACATTTTTAAACCTCGTCAATTGTCGAAAGCAAGTCATGATGGGGCCGCCACGTTGCCATATTCCGCATTCCGACGGCTTTCTGAGGATGTAACGGCAGCAGGGAGAACTTCTCGAAAGGAACGGCATGCCGATCCATTTACTTCTCACAATGTGCCAAACGCGGCCAATAAAAGCCCCAATTCTTACCAATTTGACGTGACGATGCGGGTTGAGCGTGGTGAGGTGAAGGTTTACTCCATTCAGAGAGATGCCGCTGTTGGCTCTCCCAGTGTCCCGCAGGCCTCTGACGCCGCAACAAGTAAGATGGGCCGTTCGCACCGAAGGCGGGTGAGGCTCAACCCCGAGACGTTGGAGAAGAACACCGCGAGTTCCGGTGCTGCCGATGCTGCCACTGTGGTGTACCCCATGGCGGAGCTGCTTGCCTTTCCAACACCGGATATCACCACGATGGTGTTGGCAACTGTTTGTGACTCCACGAGTGGTGATCATGAATTAATTGTCCGCGTCGAGCTGCGGGCAAGTACGGTTGAAATTTTGCCCTCTATCATGTCGCTTGCAGAGGAAATTGAAGAGTGGGCGACGGTGCATGACCGCGGCAACAGTGAGCGCGTGACGAAATTACTTGGCCTCGTAAAGGGATGGGAGAGGGATATCACCAGCAACGACCTTGCTCTACACTCTTCTATAGCCGATGTGGCGTTGCCGGTGCCCAGTGCCTTCGCCGAGGCGGTGGCGCAGTCCAGAGCAACGTCAAGCGGTTTAATCGCACTGCGGCGACAGAAACAGAATCGCGGAGACTGCCCGAATTCTACGCAACCTAGATTTCAGCACTCATCTGACGCGGGATTCTCAGGTCATGATAGCAGAGGAAAGAATACATTTACGAGCATTCACATCCGCATCACAGGACTACGCTTTGTGCTGATGACAGAGCCCGCCTCGACGGTAACCCTCTCACTTTTTTTGGACGAGCGGGGTGGCAGTCTGGACTTCTTCGTGCAGCGGTTTTTGGGACAGCCACTGGGGCCTTTTCAATGCACGAATGCATTTGTGCCGGGGCCGCTTTTATTCACAATTTGTGCTCGAAAGATGCAGCTGGAATGCCAAGCGAAGCTGGAAGTGAAGTCATTTGAGATGTTTTTGCCAGAGGCAGTGACGTGTGTCGCGTTGCGACGCCGAAAGCACGTGTGGGAACTTACAAACGTGTACATTCATACACCGTCTGATGTCTCGGGAGGTGTTGATTTGGAGGTTAGGGTGCGAGCACCGCATTTGTCGCAGCTTTTCATTGTGCAGGAGCTTTGGCACAAGGCGCTGCTTGAGTCGCTGCAGAGCATTCGTCAGATGTTTACTCGCAGTGCAAGCATCATTAAAGAAAATGTACGGAAGAGTGCCGTTATTTGCCGTGGTCTAGAAGCGATGCGTAAGGGCCAGGTGGAGGAGGTGCTGGTCGTTGTCGTCACGGCATCTCACATTAAGTTGCGACTTGACCTCAGCTCTGGTAACGCGCAACAGGCAACCGTGGGTGGCGTTAGTCTCATTCTGCTGAGGACTCGATCTCCCGCGCGTGTGTGTTACAAGACGTGCTTTGATTTGGCGGTACGGTCTTTTATACTGCGTTCTGAGGGTGTTCTTTCCGGTGTGGCCAACCTTGAGAGCGTGCTTATTAAAGCATTCCTCATTGAAAATGCAGATAACGCGAGGAATTTGGTGTGTTCACCGACAGGACGCACTTTCCGCGAGTTGTTGTGCGTGCAGAAACTACACGCGATGTTTAAGGAGCGGCAGTTGAAGGATGTGTTTGAGTGCCAGGCAACAGAGATCTCCCTTGGTTGCATGGACGGAGTGGGTGAGGAGGAACGCAGGACAGTGGAGGCGGAGTTGTCGCTGTATAGAAGCAGTGTGTTTGTGACACCAAGTACAGTGCCGGCGGTTCTCAGCACCATTAGCAACGTGGGTGAGGTTGTGTCGACGCAAAGGGAGGTGTCAGTATTGCGATTGCGGGATGGTGGCATAAAAACGTCTCACACCTCGTTCAAAAAGAAGGTGAAGGAAGTTTTATTTGACATTGAGCGGTTATTAGAGCAAAGGAAATGGTTGGTTGGCGATGAACGACCCCTGCCCCTGTTAGGCATGGAAATCCCGTACGGCGTGGAGAACAGTAACACCAGCAACAGCAGCCTCAGCTTCAGCCTTAGCGTCAGCAGCAAGGAGAATGGCAGCACTGACAAACCCAGCGTTGCCAGTGACGAGGCGGAGAAAAGTCTTATTATCCCCTTTATGGGAAACCTGCTCACACGCATTCCGTGTGGCAAACTCACCATGAAGCTGGAGCAGACAACTTTGCTGCTTGGTACCGCCTCGGCTGGGGCAACCAATTCTGGGAGCCTCATTGCGAGCTTCCCCAAGGCGAGGCTGTCCTTTGCGGAGTGCCCCGGTGACGGAAACACGACGGTAAAGAAGGTGCTTGAGATCAATACGGAGAACGTAGAACTCTTTCGTCCTGGCGCCGTCAAAGTAGTCATTCTCGGGTTTCGTGGCACCAACAATTTTGAGTTCTACTCCCGGCAGGGGATTGGGGATGCTGAGGTTGGCTTCATGTTGACGCTGCTCCAGTCCAACCCGTGGACGGGCAACCCGCGCTTTCAGGACTTTCAGGAGTTGATTCAACTCGTGTGCTCCTTCACCGCGAAGGGTAACGCGGAGATGTTTCATCGGTTTGGCAGGATTGACCAGGAGCGCCCTGGGGACTCATCGGACACAAAGTCATCCTCTAATGCTAAATCCAGTGGAGATGCCACTGCTGCAGCAGCCGGTGCCGTTTTTGCTCCCACCGCGGAGGAGACGGTGCAGCAGAACGCCGAGAAACGGTCCAGGGATGATCGATACCTGAAGGCTCTTCGACATGTAAAATTTTCTCCACAACTACGCTTTGGTGGTGATGTGGCGGTGAATGTGGATGTGATTCTTAATTGGGTTGGCGTATCGGAGAAGATGTTGCCACAAATTTTACACATGCAGGCATGCGATCGACTGGAGGGTCTTTTAAATCGTCTTTCTAAAAGAACGAAAATTATAAATAAATAAATAAATAAATAAATAAAGGACAAACAAGATATACACGGGAAAAAAAAAGGGTGGGGGATTCATTTACTGGGCGATTATACCCCCGCTTTTTTTTTTTTTTTTTTCTGCTCCTTCTTTGGACGGTTCATTTTAACCCCTTTAAAAAGGGATTTGGAAAAAAGGGGAAATTTTTTTTTTTGCTAGTTTTTTTTTGTTTTGCTATTAGCCGCAATGATGTTTATTGTTTTCTTTGCAGGAAAGGACGGCGATGAAATTGGGTTATGGGAGGAGTGGAGGA